TCCAACTGATGCGCAACACGGAAGGTCGGCGAAACAATCTGCGATAAAATGGGATAAGCTATTCACAAGAAAGAAGAATGGCGTGGCTGCTAAGCGGAGTCTTTCAACGAACAGTTCAGTTGGCCTAGCGCTAGCCAGATTAGCCCTTCCTTTACAGCTTAAGCTCAGTGAACAGCGTTAAGTGATCCTCCGACATATGAAGAAGTACGATCTTGCATTAAAGCTCTGAGGAAAGGAAAAGCAGCAGTATCTGACGGGCTTCCTCCTGGGTAGGCATGCGCAAAACTGACCGATCCATGGGCTACCGTGTCGAGCGATTTTCTCTTTCATAGAGTGACCATCAGCACCCAATACTCAGTGTTCTCACTAGACCGGAGCAATACTTCGAATACGTCGAAGCGAGAACACAGGACGTCAATTAGTATCCCTAGCCTGGAGGGACCGGGTCTCTCAACAGCAAAGCAAAACGCTACGAACGGCAGCAATATATACCATTCCCTTGAAATTGTCAGCTGTTATGGCGGCTCCGCGTGTGTCGTAGTTTGTCAAAAGCTATCCTAGCTTTTCCTCTTCCTAATACAATCTCTTCCCTAGCTTCAACTTCAACTACGATGAACCTCCCGAAGTACCCAAAGCTGTAGACCGTTTCCAGCTGATCATCACCATAGGCATCGGCTCTTGCCAGTCTCGTGAGAGCACTTTACTTTAGGATAGTAAACGTTACATATTACATCTGGATACCCCTGTCACTATGAGGTCTAAAGTTGGACTCGGGAGCATTTTCACCCAGCCACACGATGTCATCGGTCTACTGTAAATTAAGAACTCCACTGTGTGCTAGATCAGACAAAACACTCTGTAGAACATCCTCAATGGCAAAGTTCAAAAAGAATGAGAGTACAAGATAGCTTTGCAACATCCCACTGAGACGGGAGGGATATCGAAAGCTGGCCGTAGGCCGTAACTCGACCTCAATTATGTCGATACAACTCCTTGAGGCTACAGACGCACCTCAGGTACACCTCATCAACGCGCTGTTCTATCCTACGATTCTATTGACCGAGTCGAGGGCTGCGCTAATGTCCCAGAACTTATTGATCGTTGTTTTTTTTGGAAAGCACGATGATTCTCTAGCAACCGTCAGAAGGCGAAGACATGATCGAGAAATTCGGTTCAGTTTCAGTTTGTACAGCCATTAACCATGCACTTTCGTGCACCGGTATTGGTTGCTGTCTTTTGGCTGCCCATTTGAACGAACATAGGGAGAAAAACAGGAAAGGTTGAAGGTAGGATCAAAGAGAAAATTTAGGATTTCATTGCACTAATTTTGCAAAGAAATTGAGAAGATTCACGAACGCCACTGTTTACGACACCCAACCATATCACTCAGTGTCTCTAACCATCGATTACGATCATCCTGAGGTCCCCATTCAGGGAGCCTAACGGGACCTATGTGACCCAGTCCCCTGGTCAGGGTTTTCATACCCTCATGCCAGATCCTACTTACCTTGACCACTCTTGACTTTCTTCCACTCACTACCGGTCTCGGCGAACATCGCCCGCCGTAGCAACCTATCTGGTGACATTCGTAACACACTCCAACTAGCATAATCTATGGAAGTTGCCCATTTGCCCCTGTGGATCACTGCGGGTACCCAGAACTACCCGCCTAATCTCAGCATTGCTCGTCCGGTTGCCCCATCATATTCATGGAATGCTGCGTAGACAGTGGAGTACGAACACCGACAGTCTGTCTTTATCCTGTTTTCCTAATGGTCAAGTTTCTGCACCGTAAAGCACGACTGGCCGAACTGCTGCAGCATACATTGGACACTTCGCAGATAGCCGGATGTCGCGACTGCGCCACAGATGTCTCAAGTTGGCAAGTGCCAACCTAGCCTTTTGTGTGCGAGCTGACACTTCGTCCGTGATGCGCCCACCTCGTGAGATGTAGCAGCGCAAATAACAAAACTTAACCACTTGCTCTATTACTTCTCCGGTTGGAGTGAGGCTGGGTGCTGGACCAGCCCAGTCTTGTAGTAACATTTTGCACTTTGATGGTGCAAAACGCAGACTGAACATGGCTACATGAGCACTCAAACTCACTTAGCAGCACACTGTCGTCTGCATACTCTAGATCAGACAGTCTACTATCTGGAAGTAAATCGATGCCACTATCCTCGCACGAGGATAGGGCTGTTTCCACAATCAAATCTATAACAAAGTTAAATAGAAAAGGAGATAGGGGGCAACCCTGACGAACACAACTTTCCGTGGTGAACTCGAACGAAAAATTGCCGTAAGCTCGGACTCGGCTTCGGCTATTAGCATAAATGGATTGTAAGATAGAAATAAACTTCTCGGGAGCACCCTTTAGAGCGAGGCAGCGCCAGAGTTTGAAGCGGTTGACTGAGTCGAAAGCCGCTTTCCGATCCAGGAAGATAAAAATGGTGGGTCTAGGAAAAGAGTGCCGGTGCTCCAGAGTTTGGCGGCTAGTGAAGATGTGGTCGATACAACCTCGATCAGATCTAAAGCCAGCCCGGTTCTCACGCGTGCACCGTTCACGTGCGGCAGACAATCGACGGAGTATAATACCAGCGGAAAGTTTAGAGACGACGTTGATTAAACTAATTTCTCTATGGTTTTAACCAGAGGATCTGTCGCCTTTCTTGTAAATCAGTATGGTGACCGATTCACACCATTCCGTTGGAACCTCTTCCCTCTCCCACACTGAGCCCAGGAGTTCCGTCAACTCCAAGACTAACGCTGAGCCTCCATCCCTAAACGTCGATGGTAACAATCCATCTGGGTCATAGGCCTTATGCTTTTTTAGATATCTTATTTCTCGGGAAGCCTCCATTTCAAATGGAGGATTGGTGTCAACTGGGAGTATTTGCCCAGTCGATGTGGATGGTGGTAGGTCAGATATCGATGGGGGTCAGTTGAACTGAGCCTCGAAATATTCAGCCCATCGATCAAGACGGCGTTGCTGGTCGTGAATCAGTGTGCCATCGGATTCCTTTATTACCTCACTTACGCACATTTTCCTGGGGCCCGCGTTCCCAATTAGACGGAAAAGATTGCGACCATTACCTATTGTCGCATCTTTCTCCATCTCTTCACACTTTCCTATCTACCATTTCTCGCGGTCGTTCCTCAGACTTTGGAGGAGCTGACGTTTAAGGAATTCGCACGATGTCGTATTTAGCAACAGGAGGAAGGATTCTGCGGGCGTCCAGTAGGGTGGCCGAGGTTGATGAGATCCATCGTTTGTTTTTTGAGCTTGCGCCAGGGTTCGACGTTATTTTTATCGATATTTGCCTAGCTTCCTTGATTTGATTCCAATGTTCACCGGGTCCTTCGGCTCGTGGTTTAACCAAAACGCGATCGGAGAGTTCCGCTTCAAAGGCCGATTTGCAACAAACACTTACATTGTATCGTAAGTATCCGTTGTCGATGGCTGTTTTGCGGTTGTTTGCCAGGCGTAGGGAGAATCTGGCTCCTACCAAGGCGTGGTCCGTATCCACAGGTGTTGGCCAGTAAGAGCGGCAGTCTTGAAGTGATCCCCTCCATCGGTAACTGATGGCGATGTGGTCGATCGGGGTCCGGCGCAGTGAACAGGTTGGTGGCTTCCATGTAAGTTGGTGTCGTTTCTTGTCTGAGAAGTTCGTGTTTGATGGGAACATCCGTGGTCCGCGCAGAGTTGAAGTAGGCGATCTCCGTTGTCCGTCCAATTGGTTGGGATTGCATGCGGTCCGCCAAGAAACTTTTTCACTGTCGTTTTATGGACGATGACGATAATGCCGAGATATTCATACTTTCTCAAATGGATACATAAATGGTAACAATAGATTCATGACGACACTAAGATACCATGAACATCGCTTGCTGAATAATAATTGCTTTTAATGTTTGTTTCATTTAAATATGTAATATTCATTTTTCTGAAGTGCTTATCGGTTCGGTCAGTTTCCGAATCTCATTTAGTAAACTGTTGGATATTAGCTTCCACCCTATTGTTGAATGTACTATGTAGGTTTTAGGTCCTGTTAGTAGAAAATGATAGTCACTGAAAGTAATACTTTTCTCTGCTATCCAAGGGTTTCCACGGTTTTGAGTAGCGATTGTCTGTTACCAATTTTCACCAGTAAATACATGGGCTCATTAACCAAAGGAATCAGAACATCCAGTGAAAACATTCATCTCATGCTATCCGCTGCTTATTCATATGATGCTCCCTATGGCGATGTGGATCGTATTCCATGTGCCTCAGCGATTAGTGTCACATTACCTTGAGAGGTCTAACTGAACTGAGTAAGTTTTTGCTAATATTTAAGTCATCATCTTGTCTTCATTTCTTTTACCTCGTTTCATTATTTCAGTCCCCACAGTCAGTCGGACGGAGGTAATGTGGCCAAACGACCCGGAAGTGAGATTCTTCAGAGACTTCATGCTGTGGTGAATGAAGCCTATGAACACGCCCAGAATGATGAAAATTTGACCGCCATACTAAATTCTTTGCTTGCCTATAAATCGGCCGACAAAGATACACTCCATATACCTACCAATAAATATGTTCATCCTACTTCGCGTGGTGAAACACTGAGAAATCAAAGTGAGTTTGATTGTCGTCCATTTCTCGGTCCGAAAACGCCACCATCACCCAGCGCGAAATTACGTGATGATGCAAGCGGTCGATCGATCCAACGACTCCCCGATACAAGAAAACCGGTCAACTCTACTGCACTTGTGTCACAAGAAACATGTTCCTGTTGTCGCGATCAACGTACTCGACGCAATCGTATCACACAAGGGGTTGATGTTTACGAAGCTTCGAAATCGGACCGGACAGACCCGCGGTGTTGTCAATCCCCGGTCGGGCAAATAGAGTTGAAAACACACAGAGAGTCCCATGAATCCGCTCGGGATTCGGAAACGATTTCCTGTTCAGAAAAACGAATGCATTGGTCAGACAACTGTCCGTCCGATTTGTCACCCACTAAACTGGATCGATCAAGACGATCGGTCGAAATGCTGATGTCTAAATCGGATCGAAAAGATCGATCCAGAGATATTTGCACATGTGCCGTATGCATACCAAATGCTCGTATTTTTTCTGACCCAAATGATCAGTGCATCAGTGATATCCGAGAAACCCAGTCACATAAGGCCAGGTTAAACGAACAGTGGCCCGTATCTCCAGATTACGATTTGTCTACTACACGTCACCATCGGTCCTTGTCAGAAAGCACTATGAACGAAACAATTTATGTCCCGGAGTCACGGACGAATCGAACTTTTCTCGAATTGTCATACCGGAAAGAGACTAGAATGGGTCATTTGAAAAGACATTCACGAATGTTCAACAGTCACAGTCGTCATATGGAATCTCATCGATCCAGATCTCGATCACCGTGCATTATGGATCCGCATAGAAATCGTCGCTTGCGTGAGAACGTGCGCTCCACACACGCTCATTGTGAAACGCGTGGTGCACGTAAATTGTTGAAAAGTGAAATGCAGCACAGAAGTCACGAAAGTGATGCTTTTCATTCTAAACATTTTTCACCATACACAGATATAGACCGTAACATGACGCGGTCTCGTAAACTACAATCAGCATTTTGTCGTCATTTAGATCCATCCGATGTCCCCATACGGTTTCATGCTGCTTGTTCCACAACATCATATCGCCGACGATCACCGGATGTGAGAACATCCAGACAAGGACTAAAACGATGTAACGTGCGACCGCATCGGACTACACGGTCCAATCATTATTGTGGTCCACCTTCACCCTATACGGTGGTCAGAAGCTACCGAGCTTCTTCCGTAAACAGTAATTCTCCTAAATGTCCATCACCACCACATCATGAACCGGTAACGTTGTCTCGCTACTCAAACCTTGAACGATTACAAACCAAGTCCAGTGTGCATTCGAACCAAATCTCCCATTCCCCGACCATCACACAATCAGTGGACCAAAATGCAAGGGACTCTATTTCTTTAACCGATCCTAATGTTTGGTTAGGTTTTGGTCACAGTGCCAAATTACCCTCAGTTGTGAGTACATGTACTGTTCAACAAAACTTGGTCAGCAAAGATGTGGGTGCTACAAAGAAGAAGGCACGTAAGGGATCCAGAGGTGTGGAAACGTTGAATTCTATTCCATTTCAAGACTCGAATCAAAATTGTGCAGAAGATCAGACACAGAAAACAGTTGACTCGACTGATTATACGGTCCAAATTGTTTCGGACGGATCCAGTCACCCTAATGATTTCGCCACAGTTCCAACTGAACGCAGATCTGTGAGTGCGAGCAGTTCACGAAGTAGTTGTTGTTCCACTTCAAGTCAGACCAGTACCAGTGAGAGTACTGAGTCCGAGGAGAGTAGTTCCAGTAGTGCAAGTAGTTCTGGTGGAAGTGCGACTGAATCGAATCCGTCGAGAGCCGCATCAATCACTGACCGATCTGTTCCCATTTTTCCCGGTGTTACAACATCGGATCCTATGGAGCCCAGACCGTCTGATTCGGATCAACCAGAACCCAGCATATCGCACTCATTGGAACCGTCGATAGTTGAACACGAAGAAGTGATTCTATCCAGTCCAGCTGAACCGTCAATCCAAATCGCTGTCGAAACAACATGGGAAGACGGACAGGGACCGGAGATGGAGACGGATTACATTCAGTCAGATGTGAATGATCACAGTCCGGAGGTGAAAACTAATTCCGTCAAATTGATTGAAGCTGCACCGGTCATTTTCTCTGATACAGACCATGTTCTATTGCAAGAATCACCAACTAGGGAAGATAGTTCGGTAGCAGAGATTCATTCTAGTGTCTTGGAGTCACAGACTCATCGGCTTGTCACAATCAACCAACAGGTACAACAATCAAGTCCAGGAACGGAAATTCCAAGGTGCGTAGAGTTGAATAAAGAAACCAAACATAAAAGATCGGATCATAGACGAAAGTCTTCACACATCTTGGATGAAACTGACCGTGAACGAAATACATCTCGTTCTTTTAGAATGACCGATCCGCCTCCGAAAACTATAACAGAAACACATGGGAGCGCAGAAGAAGAGGGTGAAGTATTCTCTGATGGGACCAGCGATGTAGATGAGAATCAGCCACTATTAAAATCATGCACAAAAGTCTCCTATGACTTAAACGAGAATGAACACACAGTAACCGAAGCTCCACATCGCGCGAAAAGGCCGCGGTCACCGAAATCGGAAGAACTAATGCATTTGAGAGAGGTTAAGAATGAATTAAAACGTCAAAAAGCATGCAAACCAAGGCGTTCGCCAGTCATGAGTGTGGATAAATTCAAAGCTCCTGCAGCTCCGAAACCAGTCAGATATGAGCGATTTGAAAACGAAAGAGATAATAATAATAAAGACAGCACTCGCAACCGATTTCATTCCGTTTCGATAGATGAAAAACTGGGTACGATGAGAGAAACCGTTCATAGCAGAAGTGCATCGTACGAAAGAAATCACGCAGTTGGTTCCGTTGGAAGTACAAGAACCTATTGGAGTCGTAATCGATATCATTCGGACCTTCGTTCTTCACATTCCAGAGGTCGGTATTCCAAACCAATATACTTTCCGACCACAAGACCNGGACAGCAAAGATACCCGCTCAAATCACGCGGACTTCATCGCATCCCGGCGTCACATTTATCGCGTAGTGGTAAACGTTTTGTTCTCACCTCTTTTGGATTCCATAAATCAGCAATATCCGGAAGGGACTTCGATCTGCGTGAACACAAGCTAAATCGAATGCGATGAGATAATGCACTGTTTTGTAGTTCTATTGTAACACTCAGTGACTTGACCGTGTGTGATTCTTCACTGTTTGTGATTAATTTCTTTCAACTGTCTTTTTCATGTTTATGGGTTTTGAGAAACGACGAATATTGTATGTGTACCACCTATCTTTTTCATTGGCTTCTTATTTAGCATGATCAACTACTGCTTATCGGCTTAGCGGTAAGGCATGCTTTACGAATGTCACCAGATAGGTTGCTACGGCGGGCGATGTTCGCCGAGACCGGTAGTGAGTGGAAGAAAGTCAAGAGTGGTCAAGGTAAGTAGGATCTGGCATGAGGGTATGAAAACCCTGACCAGGGGACTGGGTCACATAGGTCCCGTTAGGCTCCCTGAATGGGGACCTCAGGATGATCGTAATCGATGGTTAGAGACACTGAGTGATATGGTTGGGTGTCGTAAACAGTGGCGTTCGTGAATCTTCTCAATTTCTTTGCAAAATTAGTGCAATGAAATCCTAAATTTTCTCTTTGATCCTACCTTCAACCTTTCCTGTTTTTCTCCCTATGTTCGTTCAAATGGGCAGCCAAAAGACAGCAACCAATACCGGTGCACGAAAGTGCATGGTTAATGGTTGTACAAGCTGAACTGAACATCTATCCCTTTTCCCCATGTTATTCGGCTCTTACGGACTGAACTATTTGGGTTCGATTCCCACTTTAGAATATCTTGGCAACCTGGGTCTGCATGTTTTTCATTATCAAGTTATTCTCATTTTACACTGATTTCTTTTTAGATCTGAGCTTAACTGTCATGATACAAATTCGCATATTCCATTTCCCCAAATGCGTCGTAAAGGGGACTTGTTTAGCTGTCTGCATTGTGCATGTAATTTCAGCATTTAAGTTTGGAAATACTCCATCGGCACAGATTGAAGGAAAACACAGTTAAGGGTAAGAGCTTATGAGTTGCGGGACTTATCAACTGACTAATATATCACACTTTAACTAGTACATTATGTACATAAAAATGAAAACATAATAATCGAACGAGAATTTATTTCGGATTCGCTTTCGGTCTGCTGTTTGAGGATTCGTTCACGCCCAAACTTGAGAATATAATTTTGATGTTCACCATTAAGCGAAGCAAGCTTTACTGGCGATGTCGACGACATATTATGTTTTTTGAATAACAACATCAAGGTGTCCGACTTACTTGGTGTATACAATCCCGCTCATCCCAACATCAACTTCACCTTGGAAGAAGAGATCAATCGCATGATTGGTATGGGCGCCGCAGAGGTTTTTTCGTGGAAATCGACTTGGAGCGGCCAGTACTGCCATTTAAGACGTTTTGTTTCACTCAAACGAAAAATCTGATTCCATATTTGGCAAGCAGGCCGGTGAAAATATGTACTGATGACACCATTAATGCAGAACTATCTTTCATACGTGATGTTTTCCTGTAAAACGGTTGTTCATAACGTTTTGTGGGTACCGTTTACAACATCATCGTCCACGGGAGAGACCTTGAGATATGTAGAAGATTGTTTGGAATTGGCCATCCTTCAGACTCCATTTCCACGGACATTCATCAGCTCTTTCAGTCAACTATACACTCGGACTTGTGTACGTGTTTACGTATTCTTGTGCAGAAACTTATTGCCTACACCAGCATGCACCTGTCTTCAAGAGTTCGTGAACATCATCCGACCCGACTGAACACGGGTAAAACGAAAACCACTACAAGTGCCATTGTTTCACTCCTTGTCGAATCGAATCCCATTGAGTATGAATAAAGCATTTCGTCCTCATTACTCCGTTCGGGGTCGCCGACCTAAGCCGTTTAAAATATTGCATCCTAACCACTGCCTCAGCGGTTTGCATACATCCTCCTGGTGCGTAGAAAAATTAGCACATTAGCATTGTTATCCGGCGAAACTGTGTCAAATGAAAAAGCACAGCTCATTCTCTCTCTCCCCCACCCCCCTCGAATCGTCTGTTCGTCTAGCAAGGAAAGTCGATCGTTTTGAGTTGAGCTTCCGCTGGTTGCGAAAACCGGATCCCATCTATCAGTTATTGCAGTATTGTTAAGACCGAATTTCAACCGCGACGTCATGCACAGTACTTTTAGGACCCGTAACCCAACGCAAGAAATCAGAACACACAAGAGAGCGTGCTGATCGGAATTGGGTTGAAGATTTAATGAATGATCATGAGAGTACATCAATCGATTAGAGGATGACCTAAAACTAGGTCAAGCTGGTGCACGGACAAACAGATTGGAAGATTATCAGTCAGTGTCTGCCATGACTAACTGTCACGTGATTGGACTAGCATTGGGAACTGATAGATGAATGCACACGTAGCAAGTGTGAACTTCAGGGGTGTGACAAAACACATTCGGTCTTAATGAACGCGTCAGATCTGAGTTTTTGGAAAATATTAGAATAATTCAGGCACCTCAATACACTAACACAAAAACCAGCCGATTCAATTGTGTAAAATGCAAGACGGTCCACTGTTTCCGTCAGACAAACAGGGGATTCAGAATCGGGAGCGGGGAGGCTCAGTTGACTGGTGAGTTGTGATCATGCTTTGCTATTTGACAGAGTTTTACCGGATAAAAGTGTAAATGAACCATACCTGAATTATCTAAAAGTGTTTCCATGCTGGTGAACCACCTGGTCCATACCCCCAATTGTGCTCCCAAAAACGTTTGTGTAATCAAAGCCTTCGAAATCCTGCCTCAAACAACAAGCAAGATTTTGATCTGATCGTGGTTGTATCGATCAAATTTTATCTCTTCCTCAAGTCCTCGAGCTACGCCATGCACCCCATCGTATAACGGTTGTCGTGTTCCTTGACCTTAAAGGGGCCTTCGGTTCAATTGACCGAGAATCCCCAATAAGTTTGCAAAGGAATGCCGCAGAAGTACGTGAACATACTGAGTTCACTCTACTTGCATAAATCTGTTAGTGTAAGTGTGTAAATGGAGAGCTGAGTACTTTGTTCGTAACTAGCAGCGGTGTTCGTCAAATGTACACTCTCATCATTACTGTTCAATTTCGTCACAGACGAAATAGTGGAGTACACATTAAGTAATCTCCCAAAAGTTGGTATTGAATGGGCAGCTGGAGAAAAGCTGTACGATTTAGAGTACGCTGACAATATCGTTTGCCTGTTCGAATGCATGGAGGATGCACAAAGCGCGCATGACAGACTAGCAAGTTCTGTCACTCCGTTCAGCATGCGCTTTGCACCTTCAAAGTGCAGAGTGGGGCTGCAAGACTCGGTTTCGCGATCCATTCTAAAACTAGACCATCAGGAATTGTCTGAAGTTGCTTGCTTCTCGTACTTGGGTAGCTGCGTGACCAATGACGGTAGGGCGTCAAAGGAGATAACCGGTCGAATTTCCTAGGCTGGAGCAGCGCACGCAGGACTAGAACACATGTAGTGACGAGAAGACGTTTCACCAAAGTTGAAAAGTCGCGTATGCTGCGCTACTGTACGATCAATTCCACTTTATGGTTTTGATATCTTGAATTTACGGGGAGGAGACTTCCGTCTTTTATCAGTTTTCGACAATCTATGTCTACTTAGTTTGGCCCATATCTGATGAAGTAAGCGGAATAGAAACGAAGAAGTAAGTCATCGGGTTTATGGGAATTCATTGAACAAGAACTCGCTATCTCATTGAATTCAGCTCAATAGGCTCTATTGGTTAGGACACGTTTTGAGTATGCCTAACTGTCGTTTACCGC